CTCTCTCTCTCTCTCTCTCTCTCTCTCTCTCTCTCTCTCTCTCTCTCTCTCTCTCTCTCGGGAAGATCTTCTTCGGATAGTCAGTGGTCGGGAATACGTCGGAGTTGACAAATCAAGTTCCGCGAATGGATGCGAAAGTTCGGAGCTGCGATTGATTTGAAGCGTCCTGAATTTTAATCCGGGGAGAGCTCATCGAGAGATATTCAATACTGCGCATTACGAGATATTACAATTGGAACAGAAATATAAATCATGAGTTCGTGAAATAATAATGTTAATGAAATCGATAAACACGCCACGTCTGTGCGATATTATCATTGGTATCGTACGCGCCACAATCGCAACATCACGTTGTGCGCGCCACATCCGTGTCATTATTGAGTGTGTACGCGTGTCCGTAATGCAACGTCAATTTGCATATCGAAATGAAAAACGGGTTGCCTCGAATTTCACGTTTCAACACCCATTCGGCTCGTTCGCGGGCGAACGCGAATTTTCGTTTTTATATGCCGGAGATTTGAAGAAATCAGAGTCGCGGTTGAAATGTGGCAAATACGATTTCCGCGTTAATCGCGATTCGCGCTTATTCCCTCTGCTCCCACAAGACGGCTTCGGGCATAATACAATCCACGATGAAAGGCAAGAACGTCGCGCGATTCGCGGCGAGATATTACGTATGTGATTTGCCTATATACCTCCGCCGAACATATTCTGTACATGGTGACGTAATGAAATGACGATAAATTAATCGACACACGCGTGTCAGTATGTACACGTGTACGTGAAATTACGAGCGAGTTCGCAAGTACTTCCATTACGACGTAGGCGTTTTATTAGACGTATCGATTAGGTCGATACATCGACGTTGCGCACGGTGTCGTGAGACTTAACGTCGCGTTACGACGTCATGGTACAAAATTTATTAATTCACGAGATTTTCATAGGGAAACACAGAGCTTTACACGACATAATCAACATCTAATAAATGATTTTTAGTTTCTGTTTTTCTTTAATTGTAGATTTGATTTCATTTAGATTTAACTTAATGTCATTTTCACTTTGTTCCTCTCTCTTTTTAAGGTTTTCAATTGTGTTAATTATATTTTTTGTGAAATGTGTTAAGATGTTTCCTTTCAGCGCCTATTAAAATAAATAGAAAACGATGGCGCGTATCGAGTCGAGAACAAATAGAAAAAAAGAAGGCAAAAAAGTGCTTAAATCGAAATCATTGATTCATTGATTCGGCAGAATTTCTTCAATTAACGGCGCGTAATTGTTAGGGAATGACTAATCACAATGTTGGCATAGCAATAGCAGAGAAAAGTCTTTGATTCCCCGGCTTTTCGCTCATCTATTCATTAAATTATTTCCGAGCCCCATCATTGTTCCTGCTATCTGTAATTTCAACGCGCTAACTGTTACGCTCGTGTAGTCTATTTTGCATGATGTTTTTACAGGTAGTCGGCAAAAAACGACGGCATGTAGACTGCGCTTACGCATTTGCAAAACGTACTGTTGGTTAGTTTCCAAAAGAATGCGCCTTTGTGTTAACGAATAAGCGTGTCTAAATTATACAGAGGAAAGCACATCGCGCGCGCGCACATACGGTATGTTATTTATATTCCGTTTGTTTACTTCATTTATATTCTTGTTTGTGTTTCATGCTAAAAAGTTCCAATAAACAAATTTTGTTTAACAATTTCTGTCTGATAAATATTTCACGTGTTATGACTCACGCCTTCACAAGCGTAAGTGTAGCGCAGGTAAATGTAACCTATATGTCTGCGTATGCAAATGTGTGGATGCACATGTGTGTATATATATGTTGGAACGGTCTCGTAAACTTCGAATTACACAAGACAAAAGCAGATTTCGGGTTAAATGCTGATTCCCGGGGTTCGCAACGATCCACCGCGTCGCGGCAAGCGTAAAAGCGGCAAGTACCGAAGGCGGCATCGCGAAAGCGAATTACGTCGCACCTGGCGCGGCATCAACTGCCGGAAAAGTTGAGAAGCGAATCCGTACGTTCGGCTATTTCGACGGAAGCAACATCTGCCGCGCGTCCAACGTCCGGCCCTTAAAAAGGCCAATTTGCCCCGACACACACGGTTGCACGTTCGCGCAAACTTCCCAACAACTTTTTGCCGATGTCCTGCGGTACGTAGCTGCAGCACTCCATGCGGGAGAATGTGATGGATCCGTTGGAATAGCATGTTGCAGCGACGCGCAATGTGACGTTGTTTCGGCAAGGTGTTCTCTCACGCCGTCGCATTTTTTTTCGCGTAAAAATCGAGACGAGATTTCCATCGCGCGCTAAAATCGACGCTTTAGTCTACGAACTGGTCGCAAATATTATTCGCTGTACCAATTTCTCGAATTTGCCTTTTCGCAAGACGACAACGTTGTTACCAAAGTCATTGTGTAAGCAGTCGGTCCGCGAAGGGGGACAGTAAAAGATGAATCATGGTGTATTTTAGCGTCGCGATTGCAATATGTGACTTTGCGAAGAAAGTGCAGCGAGGAAGGAAATTAAATGCCAGCGGAATGTCGGATGACACAGCTTAACTTCGGAGAAGACGTTAATTCTTTCTGTGCGCGAAACTTTCAGAGTTCAACGTATCTTACCGTGCGAGGAAAAGCCGAAGAATCTAAATTGCCTAAAGGATCTGTAATTATCCTCTATTATTTTCTCTAAATTTCTTGGAGTGAAATTTCCCACGGAAATTGAGGAATAGAGTGACCACCTAGTTACTCAAGTGGTATTTCACTCATACAGAATGAATCCTCCACTCTGAATCGTCGAGTGAATATATTTTCACTCGAAATTGAGGAGTGAATCCGATGTGCTCCATCATAACAGGAACTAGCCGGTATCCACTCTAAGTTTGAGTGAAACACTCACTCTTGCGACTTTGAGTGGCAGTATTTTCGTTGTCGCTTCGAGTGAAAATATTGCTTCGAGTGAAAATACTGCTACTTTTCACTCGTTTTGTGTGAGAATCCACTGCAAGAGATTTAGAGAGCACTTCAGGAAATTTAGAAAATGATATAATACGATAATAAAAAATGAGATACAATCTGTACATAGCGAGAGTCATTATTTCAAGGGAGAAAAATTTCGCGCGACAACCTAAACAGATTAATCAATATCTATCATTCGATTGTACAATGTGTGTTTTAATCGTGAACTATTTTACAAGCAAAAGAATTACATTAAACGTGTTTTTCATTGAATGGGAGGAAAAGGATGTATTTGCGAGCACTTTATTTTCCATCCCACGGTGTGGGCGGACAGAACGCGCAGTGACTTTCCTTTTTTTCCGTTGGCACGAAGACAAGCGACGGAAGATACATCATCGTGCCGACAGATAGAACGTCTTCACTTACTCGCTTCGACGAAAGGAGAACAATGAGAACACCAACACAAAGAAACATTCTCAACTGACCGACTTTTCTGTGCGTGAGGATGTGTGTGTGTGTTTGTGTATATGTGTATGTGTGTGTAAAATCTTGTAAAATAAAACTTATAAAATTGTCAATTGGAAGTTGCAAAATGGATTGCGCTGAAGTCGCGTCGCGCTATCAATTCGTGGCACGCACAGAGACACTGGTAATAAAAACTTTCTCAATTCGCCAGTTTCATCAGGCACCAGTGTCTCAGCTTTACGAGGCGCTGACTGTTAGACTTAGCGCTGCTGTTAAAATTAAAAGTTATTAAAGTCGGGGTACAGACGAAGGGCGTGGGTCTAGACAATCGAACTTCTCAAATCAGAATTCAGGAACTTGCTAAATCACTTGCTCTGGTTGCACTTGACATCTATCAGCGAGAAAGAAAACGCTTGTGAAAAAGTTTCATCGGTAAAATCTCAATTTTCCGCTTGGCTTAGTCACCTAACATAAAAAACAAGAAAAGCGGAGACAAAGTAACGTTAGTTCCTACGTTTCCGATAAGAAAGTTTATCATTGATTTTCGCGCAAATACACAAGCTCGTCCGGCCGCGGATGTTACGGAGGTTAGAGGCGAGCAGGTCATATTCAGTAACCCAAGTGTGTAGTGCGAACCACGAGGAATAAGGCGGCGATTCCGTTCCCTCCGTCTGTGGGAACGAGATCGTTTTCCGTCAGGAGGAGCGCCCTTATAGAACGGATCCCTTTAAGACCGTGCAATCGATGGAAAGCCGTACCTCCAGATAGGCGCCGTATTCATGGGAAATTTATCAGTGAGGGGGCAAATTCCAGGCGTTTCCACCCTTCGAACTGGCACGAGGCTGGCTGGTTACCGCCGGAGGTAGATTATCCAGGCGGCACAATGGTAGCCGGAGTCTGCGGACTCGTTGAGGTTCCACGATAAAATCACAAGGCCAAGAAAATCTCGTGTACTCGATGCCTTAAGAGAGCCTGTCATAATTTCGCTACATCCCCCCGTATGTCTTTTTTATTCAATGATACCTTGGTATCTGGCCGTTGGCGAATCATGATCGGGGACACGTTGAGAAAGATCTCTTTCTATATATGATCACACACACACACACACACAAAAGACTGCTTTCTAGAGTACAATCAGCATGTTCTTTATTGAAATGCTATACTGATGAAATGGTGGTTCAGTTAAAAGTACGGCATTGCAATCAGCAAAATCTCGCTGAAAGAATCAGTTGATGATAGTAACTGTTTCTATTATTGATGTAATTTACAAATACAGATAGAGCGCGTGAACGGCCCTCTTCAAAGAAATAACAATTTCTTAATTCTCTGTTGTTTCATAACCACTCCATTGATACACAATGTCTAGACGTGAAATTACACAGAATTGACAAATTATAACACGTCAGTCATGATAATTATCGAGTCAGTCGAGACTCGATACGACGCCGCCACCGCCGCCGTCGATGGCGCGTCGCGACGCCATCGCTCGAAATTTAACGACGACGTTAAATTGCGTTACGCAATGTCACCGTATAACGAACAATCACGTTTGTCCAAATTCCGTAACGGGTATGTCTGCCACCCAGGGGGGATGTTGGCAATCCCATTACGAGCGCGTCAAAGCCAGACTAATTAACTCAATCGCGTACACACGCGCGACGGCGAACAAACGGACAATATATTGATTCGATTATTGATAGGACACACAGCAGGTGGGGTTGTTAGAGTCGTCAGCGAGCGTAAGCTCGTTATTCGAGTTGTGCGTGAGTTCCATGTTATTTCGCGACGGCATTCATTAACAGACTTGCGCAAGACGCTTAAGGCGGCGCGATTACGTGGCGAAAGTTAGCTTTCGCCATCAACCGGCAAGTACACTCGACTTGTCAACTTTCGACGGATTATCAAAAGACTACATTTCTAACAGCAATCGCCTGATTTTCTGCCATCAGACTGAACTTTTCATATTACGTTAAAAGCGTTACTTGGACATTTTCAGCAATCGTCGATAAAAAGCACGACATTACATTCTCAGTCAAATTTCAAAGATTAAATAACTCGTGTGATTGTCAGTGTCACTGGCCCAGGGTGAATAATATTGTGGATGTATTGTTGTATGATTTTATGAATAAATATATTCAAATTGTGTCTTTTTTTATGCACACGTGGAACAGAACAACCTGACCACCATAAAGGTAAGTCAAAAGCGGACGAATAGATTATCCGTTAGAGATACTTTCGATAGAATATGATATATAATGCGGCCATATATTCTCCAATTTCTGCGCGACTTACGGCGGGAGAAACGTACGATGAATCGCGCGAATTTCGCTACGACGGAAACTAATCTGTTACGCGAGTAGATCTGTTCGAGGGTGAGTAAAAAGCGGTCTTGAATCGCTTTTACGCTTGTAATTCATTATTGGCGAAGTCAATGGGCCGCGGGACCGGTTCACGTCTGACTGTTTCATTACGAGTGAATTATTGGCGAAACGCGCGAGCGCTCAATCAGGAATGTCAAGCGACACTGCCGTGTGACTATCGCGAGCTACACTTGCACGAAGCTGCACGATTATTGCATCGTGCTACATTGCCTGTGTACGTAATATATTGCGCTACCGAATAGCATACAAGTAGCACGCGATCCACCAATCTCGGATGCCAAGCGCTGAGCTAAAAAGAATAACGGTAATTGCGACATTCTGCACATCTTGCGATTTCTGCACACTTCAAATTCTTTTAAGCTGCAATTACAGGATTACGAGCACTGGACGGGATGAGATCTCAGTTTTCGATAAATATTACACGAGTTTTACGATCGTTATCGAAGAACTTGATAAAATCGAGGTGAAGGAAATTCAGTGAAGTGCTCCATAACGCACGTTCTGTAAACGCCGAGCGGACATTCGATATGAAGCTAAAGAGCTATAAAATTTACCAGCAAGACGTATTATGATCAAGGCGAAACCGCGAACTTTAGTGCAGCCGTACTTTCGTTGAGCACGAGAGCGTGCTGGTGACATAAAAGACGTCTATCGACGCCGGTGATACATATTCCAGACGTTTCTCGCGCGGTACCCTTCTTCTCGAAGACCTTTCGTGCAATTTTCACGTAGCTACTCGGCATTTTCTTCTTATTACTGCTCGTCGTGATGCGCGGGTAATGAATAAAGTTAGGGGAGAAAAGCGCCGTTCCTTCCTCTCTCTTTCTCGCCGCGGAACTTCTATTTGTCCGAAACTTTCGGTCGGCCTCTACATAAGGATATCACCGCGTCCCTTGGTATCGGGAAACACGTGAATCGGATACATTGACTCGTTCCTCCGTAAATACATTCCCGGACGAGGCCTCGTAAAATCCGGTAAGGATATTGGTTGTCCCCGAATATATATCGGGAGGAATATACACACCCATGACGCGATATATAAGGTGATACCGCTTTTACAGCGACAATATCGCTGCTGGAGCCGACGGGGTAGCGGGAGAGAAAGAGAGAGAGGGAATACCGCACAGCCGCGCGCGAGAGAGAAAGTTACGAAATATAAATGTCGCGAAACAGAGGCGCCAATTTGCCGTGAAATCCTCCCAGGAGCCCAGATTTCGTTCTTTCGCTTCTTGAACATCGACGGAGCGGAAATTCGACCTCGCGCTACCGAATACGATTCCTCTCGCGAAATGGCAGACTCGGATTTCACCTTCGCGCTCTTTGTCGCGTTGATAATTTCGATACCGCGGGATTACGATTCCGCCTGAGATATTTCGTAAATCGACGACATCGAAAACTTTCCTCAGGCACCCTTGGTAACATTATGCGTGACTATTTTTTTCTTATTAGTGTTTCTTTTATTAATGTTCTCTTATTTCGTGATCAATTTATAACTCATCAACTTATAATAATAATATAAAATGTTTCTTTCTTTCTGTAATTTTCCAACTTATTGTAACGAATAATGTAAAATACGAGAGCTGATAAAATTAAGAAAGAAATTGAACTTCACATCACAGGCTCATTTTACTCGAAAGATATACGAGATGAACTCGACTTGGGATCCAATGAATTTCAATAGGACACTCTAAACCCACATTAAAACTTTAAGAGCTGCGAAGAGAAATGTCGTCCAATTATTGCGAGAGAGAAACTGTATCGAAATTCAATACAGGGATACCGCCTTATTATCATCATTTTCTATAGGATATCCGGTACACACATACGCGTAGTACGTTTTATATAAAGTGACATGGTAGAGAGCGTGCCTCAGGAAATATCGATAACGGAAAAACGTGTTACGGATAAAATGGCTCGGATCACATGGCACAAAATAGTTTCTTTCTGGATGAACACTCTTGCCACGGTTCACTTTTTTTTACATCGCTTAAATTATTCCATCGAATCGTCTCACGCGAAATATCTCGCACGCAGATACATTTCATGCATGAATAACATTTTGTCGTGTACGATTCGCAGACTGAAACATCCCTGCTATACGATGCCGTTTATCTCTTCGCCAAGGCGTTGCACGATCTGGACACGTCTCAGCAAATCGATATCAAGCCGTTATCCTGCGAATCAACAGACACCTGGCCTCACGGATATTCGCTCATTAACTACATGAAGATCGTAAGTATCATCAATTAGAACAATCAACGATATTATAGTTTCAAGTGAGAGGATAGTACGTATATGTGTTAGAAAGTGTATGCTCTCAACTTGCTACACAATCTTATAGTTTCAAAGTCTTTATCATACAATAAACAAATAAAATAATAATTAATAAATACTAAGGAATACGCGCGTGAGAGACACGGATTAAAAAATAAAAAACGTATATAGAAAGTAAATAAAAAATTAGGAAATACGAGAAAAATAAAGACAAATTAATCTCGGCGATTGTTTTTTACTTTTCTCACTTCATTTTCTCGCATTTTCTAGTTTTCAGTCTATTTTCCACTTTTCACAGTTAATATGCGGAAATCTGTACAGAAACTCTATGTTTTCGTCGCATTAACAGGGTTGATATATGCAATCTAATTTCTATTCAATGCTAACATTACACGCGATTTTCGTGTGAGATAAATCATGCGCAAAATCGACCAACCATATGTACCGCTAAATGCAACAGCAATGTAAACGATACAATTACGGACAGCCTTATAGCTTATCATGTTCAGTTAACAGATAAATCCAGAGATAGCCAATAACATCGAATCGACGAGTTTGGGATCACGCAACGAACACGGTGCTGTCAAGCCGTCGAAAGTATCTTTACTCAGTCGATCGTGTAAAACACGCGCGCGCATCGTTCCGCGATGTAACGTTAGAGACGATATTTGCGTATTATTGGCAGCCGTCTTCCGTTGGCGATTACCGCGTCTGTATTCTCGACGAACGATGCAATGTAGCAGCTGGATCTATCGTGAATGTATCGCGCTAGGCAGAAATTAATTTCGTAGAATTATGGGGCGCTGATCGATCGCACCGGCAACGTAATAAACCATTGTAACGATATGCTTAATCCTATCTCTCTAACTTGCGTGTTCTCCCGCGTAAACCGCACACCTTTTATCAACGCGACTTCTGCGTCCTTTGAATACGATAAGAACGAGTCGAACGCGACATGCACGGTGATATATGAAGAGATAAAGGCAAAAGAAATTGATAAATAGGCGACGCTGGGGTGGCGCACGGCGCAGGAAATCATACGAAACCCGGACGCATTGACTCTCCGCGATTCGCGCGATTGTTCTCGCGGAACAATAGAAAGTTACCCCAGTTTAAACGAAGCTGTCGCGCGCGTTGACAAATTGTCGCTCGTGGTTTTACTTCGCTGCATCCTGATGCAAAGATGTAGGCCGCAGTGTGTATCCAACGCATCTTCATGTACAGATCGCTGATTCCGCAGGTGAAAGTCCAAATCTTACACGCGCGACGATGGAAACGATTGTCTCTGTACAAAAACGATTGTCTCTGGCGTCGTTAGCGTCTTCCAAGTTCGGATCTTTTCGAGTTGAACGCGCGTCGTGTTTAGATAACTTTTAATAATCGATAAAAAGGTAATTTTGAGCTTTCCAGTCCCGCATGAAATCATAATGCGCTGATTATACTTCGCGTGTGATTCTGATATTCTATTCATAGCGAACACGGTATATGTCGCAACTATTTAACGCCGAGACCGATGTGGACATGGATTGAAGGGTAACGTGGGGGACGGCGGATGGTAACGCGTTGCATCAGCGCGATACGAGTGCGGGCGAATATAAATATGCGTTACACGCAGGATATGGAAACGTGTCTCGTCATCCGCGTCGCCGTGTCGGGATTGACAAGCACCGGAAGATAGGTTTCGCGCGGAGGCGGCTCTCATGCATGTGCCTGACTGCGTATACGTCACGAGCGAGCGGAACCTGTCGTTCACCGCGGTCGAACGTCCCGACGAGGATCAGCAAAAACCGCCGATAGAAGCAGACACGCGTGTGTAATTTCGAGGATCTCGTTACGCGGTCCCGCACGATAGCGCGACGTGTGAGATTGCGTGACGTGCGCGATTGTTCCAAATTACAAGTGTCGCGGTGGTATCTCTCCAATCTTCACCGAGCCACGGACTATCCTCCGTGGAAATTGCGAAAATCTCGTTTTCGAGTCTTCGGGAAGCCTCTCGGCTCAGTGTCGTCCTTTCTCGGGGGTGAAACCTTGTTTGAGAAACGTTACGATGTATCCCGAACCTCTAAAGAGCAAAGATCCCTAATGGATCTTGGACGTGGTCTTCGTGGATTACGGCGCGAGAATACCGCGGGGAAATACGCGCGACTAGTTCACCGCGATATGCATCTGTGCGAATAATTCCACCGCGATAACATCTTCCACTTCCGTTTGATAAAATAAGCTCGCTATTGTAACGGAGACTTCCCTATTAACTCGCAAAATTCGCAGAAATATAGAATAATCACCTGCGACGAGGACTAGCGAAACGTGTCTGAAATTCGATATGACCGCGCGATTCTTCAATTCGCCCGCTAATTTCTCAAACGTGGATTTCGCTGCGAGTGAAGCGCGCCAACGTGCACTACATTGGCGCTGACAGCTTTTTAGATAGATCCTCTCTGTATGATCCATTTGTGCGAGATTGGTGCGGTGCATTAACGTATCTCGAATGGCGTAATAATCGTCAACCAGGGCGGTGCGTTCTTTCTGCGAGAACGCCATGAGTCGTCGGTAACGATAGCGGCTGTATTAATCTCGCGTGTCAGCACCGAGTTTAATTTCGCGATATTCATGAACCGGTAATTACAAGCAGTCACCGAGAATTTCATCCGCAATTACACAGCACCGTTTTGCGAATATACAACGTGACTCACGAGAAACAGAGAGATAGAGAGAAGAAGAGTGAGAGATAGATAGACAGACAGAGAGAGAGAGAGAGAGAGAGAGAGAGAGAGAGAGAGAGAGAGAGAGAGAGAGAGAGAGAGAGACAGAGAGAGACAGAGATCGGTTATCATGCCAGGCGTTATTACTGGCGAATCATTTTACGAATATTACGAAATTTCCGTCTCAAAACGTTGTCGCGTATAAATGCGTCTTCTGCGCGCTCTGATATAGTTGTGAACTATAACGCCCGCTTCACCGCTTTCATGGCCGGCGAACATTTAGACAAATCCTTTGCGCATACGTAATAAATTCACCACGAATCTCTCCCCGCAGCGCGTTCGAGCGCGTGCGTCTACATCGGTGCTTCTCAAACTTATCTCGTTCGAGAAATCGCCAACTGTGAATCCAGGAGCAGATAATACACAACGCATCGTGTATGCTAGACAAGCAAAATTTACATTAGGGGATAATATTTATAAATTTTGCTTCGATAACTAAGCACAAACATATCAAACATTCTATATCAAACATTAAACGAAATAATATACTCACGTTACTGTTACTAAATTGCAAAAAAAACATCTATTATTAATTAATAACGATTATTACTAATTTTTTACTTACAATTAAACTATTCATTAAACTGCGAGCTAAACTTTGATATTGTATATAATGCTGCGAGCTAAATATTGGTATTGTATATAATGCATATCTGCAAATATTATAGATCAAAACATAATACATAAATCTCAAATAAATAAATAAATAAATGTGTATATATATATATATCGCTTATTTGCACTTGGGGGGGAGAGTTATAATTAATAATAAATAATATTTATAATAACCGGAGAAACTTCAACATTTATATCTATAATTAATACAATTGCAATAACGAAAATATCTAATATATAAATTTCGTCATTCATGTAATTTAATATTTCGTTAAATATTAATATTTAATATTTATGAATTATAATATTAATATTTAATATTTCGTAATTGTTAAATATTCTCCAACGTATATTTCAGGTCGAGATGACGGGACTTACAGGTATTATCAAGTTCGATCACCAGGGCTTTCGTTCAGACTTCATGTTAGACATCATTGAGCTAAATAGCAAAGAAGGCTTGAAGAAAATCGGTACTTGGAATAGTACCAAGGGCATCAACTTCACAAGAAGCTACGGCGACGTTTACACTCAAATAGTTGAAAACTTGCAGAATAAGACTTTCATCGTGACGACCATATTGGTGAGTAATGTTTTCAAAACGCGCACTTTTTTACGCGGCGTTTGATTTATGAAAAATTCCACCCTGCCGCACACAAACATCGGAATACATAAAATCAAACTTTTATCTTTCCGTCCATTAGCAAAACCTGCGCGCGCTCGTTAGCTTTTATCAAATTTTTATCTTCGAACATGAACGCTTAAGTCCGACATTTCCCAAAAGTTTGTATACACTTTGATTCGAATGAAGTAACGCGGCACTTCATAGTACTTCACGGTGTCTTTCATAAAAATTTGTTACATCATAGCATCTCTCCAAGTTTTCTTAGAGTCTCAGAAAATTGTAAGATTAATTGTTTATATATATATATATATATATATATATATATATATATATATATATATATATATGGAGAATAGAGAAATATATTGGTATTATTTTGTTAAAGTAATTTAACTAAAGAGAATGCATTCCCACAAACGCTCAAGTTCTCCCTCGCTTCTCACTCTGTATTTAAAAGATATACAATGCTAAAGTATATTAAAATAATTTAGCAAAATGCACGCAGAGTTTGAAGAAACTCATTCAAGAGGGCGATGGAGTGAGAAAGAGAAAGAATGGAGCAACTTAACGTACAGATTTAACAAGTTTCTCGGTGTTTCGCTGCACCTTAAAGCGCAGGAAAACCGTTCACTGCCGTATCAAAGGTATCGTATTGGCTTGGCGTCTGCAAAAATCGCGCCTGACAGCCGCGGTACGCTCAAAAATCGTCGCTTTAATCGAAGCGCGAGCAAAACAGAGACAACGTCGCATTAGGCGGCCGTCACAGCGGGACGGAAATTTCTTTCCGTCCATTAGCGAAGCCTGCGCGCGCTCATTAGCTTTCCGCTCCTTTTTTCTCGGAGAGGAAAGAAGATGAGAGGGCTGGAAACGCGTCGCTGCCGGATACGCGCGACTTAATTGAAGTTTTCACAGCGCGCTCGACTCACATTACTTATTCCTGCGCTAATTGCGGCGACAAGTAATGTACTCGGTAATGTATTAACTGCCTCGAAACTCGGCTGAGAAAGGGACGACCGGCAAGTTCCCCGTGGCGAAGCCGCGCGATAAGAAGCGGTACTCGTCATTCTTATAAAAACTTCGACGTTCTAATGCTCCTTCGATCAGTGTACAGCCGAACAAAAGCTGAAATGAACTTGTCATCGATAAGAACGTGTAATATACGGTAGATTTATGTATTACAGGGTGTTTCATAAAAGCTGTATTAGACGTTAAGAGACATCGCGCGATCGATGAAGTCGGTAAATTTATATCAAATTCAATTTTTGCACACGTTGACACGAGAAGCGTACGACGATCTGGGGGTTTCAATCGCCAAAAATATCGCCGAAAATATCGCGAGCAAAAATTCTTTCGTAATTTCCTTTTTGTGAGTTTCTTCTCTTATTTACAATTCTCGATTTTAAGCCTATCTTAATATATTAGCTCAACCGATTCTAATCATTGATACTTCAGGGCGGACATCAGATTTCAGGAAAAGAAAATTGTGATATTACCATTGTACCACCCGGATACATCCAATGTGTATCCTTATAAAGGCGGGGAGCCCTGAACAAAAAAACAGTATTGAAAAGTATAGTTCTTGCGTTCAATATACTAAGACGTCCGATCTCGATGCTCATATGAGAGTCGTCAAGATCACTTCCGTAGATATCATAACTTCACTTAGCGGACTCGCGAGTCGATGCTATCGATGCTATCGTGAGCTATCGTCGACGAGTCCGACCGAACGAGGCTCATATATCGATAGACACGCGCGTCCCTCCAGACGTATATGTGGCGTTATTGACGGTAGATCATTACGTCCTCCTCGGCAGAGCGCGCCGTACTGCATGCGGAAGGACTCGAGCGAGAAGCTCACCGGAAACGCGCAATTCGAAGGCTACAGCGTCGACTTGATTTACGAGATATCGCGGCTGCTTGGATTCAATTATACGTTCCGGCTTGTGCCGGACGGACGTTACGGCTCGTACAACAAGCAGACGAAGGAATGGGACGGGATGATGAAGGAGCTGCTCGATCAGAAGGCCGATCTCGCGATCGCCGATCTCACTATCACGTATGACCGAGAACAGGTTGTCGACTTCACGATGCCGTTCATGCCTTTAGGTAAGACCGCCGTGGCTCTCGCCATTTCCATAAACACGTTAAGGGAATTGCAAAAACTTAATTACCACGAAGTACTATTCTAGCGCGAATAGCACTGTGATAGACAGCGGTGTGATATCTTGGAGGGGAGTTCTATTTGATTTTTCCCTTCGTGGCCGTAGACGATAGCTCTTGTAATCGCGGCATTAGCAAAAGCGGAAGAGAAACCGCAGCTGAGTACGCATTCCACGCGAATATGTTATCATGATACAAACATTACGTTATCTTGTGTGCTTTGCGTTGTAAAAGTGAGGATACAGTGTGTTCGACGGATTAACGTTGCCGTATAAATGGCATATTATGTTCATTAAAAGAATAATCGTTAGAATAATAATAAATGAAATGCAGAGTATGGCGGACAGTCTTTGTGGCGCGTATCTCGGAAATAATTTCTGGGACGCGCGCGATTTAGCGGGCTATTATATGCCTCCGTAAAGCCATAGGTGGCCGTAACGAAGGCCGGAATAAATCTCGCGAGTAATTATACCGGCCCTCTGTGTCCACACATCAATGCATTCTACGTGGTTCGCGCCGTGGCTGAGCATAAAACGAGAATTTTGAATTTCCAGGGATCAGCATACTTTACCGCAAGCCCATAAAGCAACCGCCGAATTTGTTCTCGTTCCTCAGCCCTCTCAGCCTCGACGTATGGATCTACATGGCGACGGCTTATCTCGGGGTCTCCGTGCTCCTCTTTATACTAGCCAGGCAAGTGAAACCATTTTAAATTCTTCCGACAAAAATGTCGCCGTGACGCTATCCCGGAAATTCGATCGCCCATTTAATCGACGTGCGATCGCGTCGCCGCCTTTAGCACGCTCCATCGACGAATTAAATACGGAGGGAACGCGAGCCCATCCTATTTCCGCGAGTACTTTGCATTTATTTATTCGATACCTTCATTTAACGTTTATAGTACCCGATATCGTTTCCTAACTTCTGTAACGAGAAGACCCAATTGGAATTTCGCGAGAACTTTTCCTCCAATTTCGCTCGCGATCAAAATAACATAAGTCTTTCTATTATCTCGTATTAAATGTTTCATGAAAATTGTTTCCGAGAATACGAGAGGAACTTTTCTCTCAACTGATTGCGACATATAGCGAGAAGAGAGCCGTGAAACGCGCCGAGTGAATCGATGTTTTGGGGCGAATCCTTCTTTTTTTCTAATAACGAGGCGATATCTTTGAGATAATTGTTGGATCAGTGTGCGTCTGGAACCGTTGAGTTTAGATTCACACCGTACGAATGGTACAACCCGCATCCGTGCAACAAAAATCCGGACCGCCTGGAGAATCGCTTCAAGCTCCTTAACTGCTTGTGGTTCACCATTGGCTCCCTAATGCGGCAGGGTTGTGACATTCTGCCCAAGTAAGCTCTCTCACGCATGAAGATAATCTTTGTGCGCAACATTCGTGCTAGTCGCAATTGCACACTGGATTCATTTAAGAGAAAACAAGATCATTGTCCCTCCGAATTACCCCTTGGCGAAGTTACTGTTTTCATTGCATGGATGGCAGTCGATCGCGATAAGGAGCACAGAGCCTGATAGAGACCCCTACAAGAGACTGAATCGAGCGCTTCTCGTATTCGCCTCAGGACTGCGCTAAAAGCGTCAATCAAAGAAAGACAGCGTACTCGATGAATAATTATCTTGTACCAAGTGGTTGACGAGTTTCATACATGTTCGAGCGACGTAATTGAGACGGCAATGTTGCCGCGAGCAAGTTAATTTTTAGCTGCAATTCCAACGGCAATAAAGTTATCTCGAATGACTTTTCCATCTGTATTTTAATTGCGATTAAACAATATTATCGCAGCGCTCGCACGCATTGATTCGATAATCGGGAATTCCTTGCTTCGTTCTCTGCCACGGATATCAAGCTGCAGCGATCTCGAAACGTCATATTTACGTATCATTGTTTCACGTATCATTTGCACGTGTTGATTCTGTCGTCGGCAGATGACGAGAATCCCAATCGGCCCGCGAAGCGCACAAGTTTCAGGGCGATTCTGTCAGGCTACTCGCGGCTAAATGCACACGCACTGAAATCTAATCTCGGCCCTTCCCCCTTTCACGTGTCCGCAGGTTCAGCCCCTACGAGTGGGAGAACCCCCATCCATGCAACGGGCAGTCCGAGGTCCTCGAGAACGAGTTCACCCTGCTGAACTCGCTCTGGTTCACCATAGGCTCGCTCATGCAGCAAGGCTCCGATATAGCGCCGAAGTAAGTTATATACCGGAGGAAGCGCGCGCGACATGTACATGGACAACGTGCGGAGCACACGACGTAGAATCGATTATCACCGTCGGCGTACGTACGAACGACGTCGATGCGAAGCAACGATAGTTTAAAGAATCGCGAACGGAGCAACGCGCTCTTGAATTTAGATTACGCGAGCGAATGTAGAGAGAGAGCAAGAAAGAGAGCGAAAGACAAAAGAACAGAGAAACAAAGGGAAAAGAGAGAGAGAGAGAGAGAGAGAGAGAGAAAATAAAGCAGCTCTAACGACCTAACGACAAACTGGCTATGCTATATCGTAGACTTGCTGCAAGCCGATTCTACGCCGGGGTCGCGCCGGAAAACGCGAGGCAAATAGTAGAAATGTATTCTTTAACGGGTCCCAGTGTCGACTCTTCCCTAATGAAAATTTAATCAATGGCTTAATTAGGGAGCTACTTAATTAAAGGGTTATGGCGAATTAAGCCGCGTAGCGGCGTAACGAAGTAACAAAACTTTACTTTCTAATTAATTCGAGACACACTTCCATCCCTTTAACAAGGAATTAATTCGATATTCAATGAACGAGAGGTATTTCACGCACGAGACGGGAAAGCTCCCGGATCTTCGGCGCGAACGTTCCTCCAAGTGTGATTTTTTTTAAAAAGTCGTTGAAGAATACATCCTCGCTACGGTTTCCGGCGCGTAATATGGATGCGCGTGTGTGTGTGTGCGCGCGTGTATGTGTGTATAAAAACGGAAAAATTAAAATAGAAATGCTTCTCGCCTGTGCGACCTTATCACACTCGTTTCTCGTTACCGAAATGCACGAGATCGCGCGCAGCATGCGCTACCAGCTTGGAATGCCGTTACGCAAGTAGTTTCCAATAATTCCACGCGCTCGTTATACACAATATAATCGTGTTTATCGTGCGTACGCAGCAATTTTCACGTGTAAAATAATTCGCTTGCACACGCGTCCGTCCGTTCCGCCCGGCAATCCCCCGTATTCGCCGTTTAATAGTATACGCGAATCATTTAACTGCAAGACCGGTTATATCCGCAATGTATACAGCCGCTCGTTACATAAAGCGAAGTCGAACTTGCGCACGCTCCATTACCTCCGAAGGAAACGAAGTTACTCTCGAAAACTTCCGGTAGCAAGCGCGAAAGTGGACGAGCGAGTGAGCGGCAGGTGTCGTTGATTCCTTTTTTTCCCGCGACTTTGTATTTTCGACACGCGCCACTTTATCGCGAGCACGGTTCTGTAAACGAGATGGTTATACGAACTACTTGACGCACGTGAACGCATTCGAGACGGATTTTACTTTATTTAACAAACACACGCGCGCACGCTCGAGCCCTAATAGAAAACCGGTCTGCAGCCTTCGAACGCTTGTCGCAGGGCCGTGTCGACGCGCATGGTCGCGGGTATGTGGTGGTTCTTCACATTGATCATGATCTCCTCGTACACGGCTAATCTGGCGGCTTTCCTCACCGTCGAGAGGATGGATTCCCCGATCGAGAGCGCTGAGGATCTCGCCAAGCAGACGAAGATCAAGTACGGTGCTCTCAAAGGCGGCAGCACGGCAGCCTTCTTCAGGGTGAGAATTCGTTCGTAAATGTCGATCGAGCCGTATCCCGCGAGAGTGCCGAAATGGGTATTGTCGCGTTCTAGAAGAATATCACAGCAGACGAGAAATTTCTATAATCGTGGCCGAACGATGGCCGATCATTTCTCGACGACTCGAGAATTTCGCGTAGCTTTCATCGAGGGCAGGAGAGAGAGGTGGGTCAACGAATTATTATCCTGAAAGCCCGACACAATTAAGTCCAACTCACCGCTCGGCTGGCGAGCTAAGAATCCGATCGGTACAACGGCGAAACCGCAGGACGCGATCGAGAGTATTCCGTTATTAATTCGAGAGCGTTGACGCGTGCAATTAGGGACGTAAACGAGATACGATGCAACCCCTGAGCCCTTCACCGCTCTCGGCCTCGAAGTAAGGCATGCCTACTTCGGGGTTAACCGATTTCCGCTGACGTTCCATCGTTTAGCGGCACGCGTACTCAACCACGAAATTCCCGGCGTGATCTAGGATTCCAATTTCTCGACGTACCAACGCATGTGGTCCTTCATGGATTCAGCGAAGCCGACGGTATTTACGGCGAGCAACGTCGAGGGCGTGGATCGAGTGATCAAGGGGAAAGGCAGTTACGCATTCCTGATGGAATCCACTTCCATCGAATACGTAATCGAGAGGAACTGCGACCTCACTCAAGTCGGCGGTCTCTTGGACTCCAAGGGATACGGCATAGCCATGCCGCCAAGTAAGTCCTAATGGAAACACTTGATACGCACGCGGGTGCATACCTAGTCCGAGATAGTCGCGATAAATTCGCGCAAGACCGCGATTGTGCACGCCCTCGCGCGTATATTCTCTCGCCCTCGTAACGTTCCCAGGACGACAACGTTGCGTGTAAAGTCACGGATGAAGAATGAAAGAGTTGGTCTACCAGAGTGAGAGAGAGAGAGAGAGAAAGAGAGAGAAAAAGAGTCTTGAATTTACAGAATCGCGCGAGTGTGAAAATTCCATGTCGATTCTATGTTAACGCCGAAAGCGCAACGAGTCTCATAAAGAAGTACCCGCTGGCTCTTTTCGTAGAGATAGTCGTTGCTTCGCGGCGGTTTATGAAATCTTCAACTTTAATACGATTCCGCAAAAGTTGAACAGAGTCTGGTATCAACGAAAACGTGAGAAACAATTTGAAACGTAGAGAAGTTCAATATTACAGTGTTCTGAAATCTGATTTAATCAATGGAAGTAAATCTTTTTTTTTCTTCTGATTTAATCTGATTCAATCAATGGAAGCGAATCTTTTTTTTTCGCGATCAATGGAAGCGTTGAATGCAACATTTCAATTTTGCGAAAGAAGCACGCAGATTTATTGTCGCGTCGAGGAGCACTTGTACCGTTTTTTCGGCGCTTCCTCGCTATTAAGTAAATTTCGCATTTAATTGAAGTTTCTTGCCCGTGTAAATGGGAGTGATGGGAAGGAAATGCGAGTCGTTCCCTCGGCGAATTCCCTCTTGCGCGCGGGTGGGTATGTTAGTCAGCTTATCCAGCGCGCTCATCCCGAGAGATCGAATGGAATATCGCGCTCGCGTTGCCGGTCGTCCTGCTGATCTCGCGACTGCGCGCGAATGCCGGTCGATAGAGATGTCCCGCGCGCTGGAGGAAGCGATCGCGCGGAATTGCCGGCGAAACGTTGGCGCGAGGGAACGATTGCCGCAACGGTACTTCTGAAAGTTTCGCGAAAGTACGGGGTCTACGAGGCGATAAAAGCAGCGGAGCGAGTTCCTCAAAACGACCTTGGAACTTCAGACTCGCCGTACAGAACGGCCATAAGCGGGGCCATACTGAAGCTCCAGGAGGAAGGGAAGCTTCACATGCTGAAGACGCGCTGGTGGAAGGAGAAGCGAGGCGGCGGGTCTTGCAGGGTAAGCAAACATGCACCTTAAAGCACACTCGCACGGTTTATTTCTGCAATCTGGGATGCACGAGTCCCGTGTGAAAAATTCGCAAAAGATATAGTATTAGAAAGTAATATGATTAACTGAATTCGGACACCGTATTAAGCGATAATTTAATGTGGTCATTTGAAAATTATCTAGAAAGGGCGAGAACTATTCGAAGAAAAAATGTAGAGAAATTATTTCATTGTGATTCGAAGACAAATGAACGATCACAATGAGTTCGTGCAGAAACGATCACGACACGTCGATATAGCGTAGTTATTGGCACTAAAGAGGCGAAAGTTACTTTGTGAAGATAATTAGTCTTCTCTCAGAAATTAAACTAACGGGACCCTTTCAGTCTCGCTGTTTTAATTGACTATTATTTATCTTTCCCTCATCGTCACTTGAACGGGACGACTGTTGAAAGGAAAGCGTGTGAAATCGTTTTTAGCCCATCGTCGTTTCCCTTACTTTTCTCACTGGAGGGTATTCTGGCACCGTAGCGCAGTCAAGAAGTACGCGCTCGAAATTCTTGCACCAGACTCCAGGCAACCCCTCTCGCCCGCCAGAGACGTTCGGGGTTGAGGCGGCACGCAGGAGAGACTATTTCGCGAATTCGCGAAATCGAGGCTTCGCCGAGCTCGCGATCACTGGCGTTGCACGCGCTGCTATTTCTCGCGCAGCTCTGCGCTGATAAATTCTCCCGATAATTCGTCGGCTCCATCCTCGCGAAGGAACTCGCCGCCGTTTGATGGACGAACGCAAACGGACGATTGTAGTTATGCGAGAGGAATTAACTCGTCGGCAGGTGCTCGCCGACTGCTAACCGTTACCGAGCTATATTCGCGAAAAATGTAACGTAATATTCGCGCAACGTCAGAGCGCTACGTAAGCTGCACTCGCCAATTTTCCATGATAAATGAAAAGAATTGCACCTGCCATTATATTTGCTTTCATTCTCGGGAGGCGAATCAGTGATCGTTAAATTGTGCTCTTAAACTTAAATAGGTAATCAGAAGGAAGATTTCTGTATCCGCGCTTTCATACTCCGTAAACCTTTTCTTCTCTACGAGATTGGTTTCACAGAAAATAATATTACCACGAATACCACTATCTTTAACAGACGTTTTTTTCTTAATTAAGAATGTAATAATAAAAGTCATATTCTCCTCCCCCCTCTCTCGAGCCGAAAGCCGGCGAGGAGAACTTCGATACACAAAGAGCGAGCTATTGTATCGGGGAAATTTCATATTTTACGCGATGTAAAAGCGCAATTTTTAAACGCGATATCTTCGAGACACAGCTTTAGAATTACAGAGCCTCTTGGCATGCAATAACGCGTCGGTAAAAAGAATCGCAAAAGTGGCTTCGTTCAGACAATTTAATCGGCAATTTAATGATCAATGAACCACCGTCCGCCCCTCGACGCTTTAATCCATCAGCTCGGGTGTGAGCTCGCGCGATCGAATTTTCGCGATATTATCGACGACGTGCAGCCTCCTGCGCGCCGCCTCAATAATGAACACCTGAAAGCGAAGGCCGCGCGCGTATTAACGATGCAGCCGGGCGAAAACCGCCGTTTCCCCGGGCGCATCAGCGATGCAACGGGCCATATTCGGTGCAACCGCCCTCGCGTTAATACGCCACAGGCTAATCGATGTTTCTCGCGATCAGGACGACACGTCGAAGAGCAGCTCGGCGGCGAACGAGCTCGGCCTGGCGAACGTCGGCGGCGTCTTCGTGGTGCTCATGGGCGGAATGGGCGTCGCCTGCGTGATCGCGGTCTGCGAGTTCGTGTGGAAGAGCCGGAAGGTCGCAATCGAGGAACGGGTGAGTGACGTGAAATAGCACGTGGAGGAAGGCGCGGTGACGACCACCACAACCTCCTCCTCCTCCTCCTCTACCTTCTCGGCGGAAATCCGCGTCGCGCCGGGGTCCGCCACCACGCGGCACGACCCCGATGCGATCTATCCCGACATACCGCGCGAGTACATCAGTTGATGCCCGCACGCTGGTGGAGTTCCTCTCTAATGGTCTCGGTGCAGAACCACTCGGGTCTGATCGCGCGCGGCTCGAGTCGCCGTCGATCGATCGCCATCGATCGATCGCCATCGATCGATCGCCGTCTCGACGAAGACGTCGTAGGAAAGAAGAGCGCTCTCGCGACTCTTCTTCGCGCGCGCGCTACTTTTCTCACTTTTTCGTCGTCACTGTAACCATCGCACGCCGTTACCCCACGTCATTATCCCTATTGTCTCGTTGCGCGCGAATATCGTCGTTAGTCGGACCGGCAAGTGCCCATCCTCGAGAATCAAGAACGCGCTAGTGCAAGCTTTCCCACGTGAAACGGCAAGAGTGTTCGTGCATTGCGAGAAATCCGGCTCTGATACGGACTTTTGTCGCGGAGAAGATAGAGGAATCGATTTTGTGATATTAGCAATGTTCACGAAGCAAAGGGTTAGTCTTGAAAGTGCCCAGTTCCGATCTATCTCTTTTCATTCCTATTTATCCTACAATATCCATGCAAATGAGATACACTGAAATTTTATTTCAACAGATTTTCTAAAATGTATGAACTTCTTATTCAAAATTAAAAAAACATGGAGGAGATTTTATTCTGCCTCACAACCGGTGTTGCTACGTGACATTCTTGGGAAAATCAGGAAAGACATTCTCTTGAAGTAAATCAGTAAAATTATTTCTGACTGAATATCATTAAAAGATGTATATCACTGATAATCAGTGAGTATTCACTGATTTTCAGTGGAAACAGTCTTATTTTATTGCTCCAGCATATATCTTACTGATTCTGATCAGAGGAAGTAAGATTTCACTGCAAAATTTATGATACACATACACGTGATATACTGTACGAAATCCTACGTTCACGGTGATGGAATTGACAGCTCCCATGCAATTTGTATGCGATAGTACTATGTACGCTTGCAAACTGCATTATAAAGTATAAAGTATAGCATTTTAGCGAAGAACACACCGACTGTACTTTAGAGAAGTAGAAGCGAAAGTAAAAATTTCGAAACTAAATCTTCAGTTTGAAAATTAGATGTCGCATTTTGCACTGATTAGATACCCACGATTCATTTTAACAAACACTTGGAAATATGCGATTACGCACTCAGGGCAAATCCCTGTAGTCTCGGCAAATTTGGATTGCGAAAAGTTCGCACACATAACGCGATCTTATATTCCGTCATATGATACTTTTCTCCCTATTTCCACGTCAGAGAGTAGCATCAGTTATTCCAATTCCATGGTGTGTTGATATAGCACTCGCAACGAAAGAGAAAGAGGGAGAGAGAGAAAGAAAAAAAAAGAGAGAGTTGGAGAACGTTCATCAATATCACTCGAGAACGTCGTGATTACTGGAAAGACTCCGTGAAAACGCAGCCAGCGAAAACTTAATGAAAAAATCTCGCGTCGGGTTCGCATTTCGGTCGCGAAAGGGAGAAATGAAATTAGCGTGCAGAGCGGAGAGCCTCGTGACTCTGGCACGGTTCGCGCGGTGGTGGCCGCGCGGTCTACGATATGTATTCGAGCTGCCGTTTGCATACATTCGAGGGGTAAGCAAACAGGCAACTATTTGAAGAGGGCTCGTCCGGGGATACGCAGCTTTGCGCAGATCATACCGCATGTACTCGAACGGTCCCGCGAGCTGACAAATGCCGGTATCGCTGTATCTCTTTTTTTCAGTCACGCCACTTCAGGCGCAATTCAGCATGAACCCCTCCAAAATTTCAAATCGGCTTAGATCGATCTCGTAGAGGGCGGGGACCTCGCGTTCTGCGATGAATAAGTACGGTTTCAAAATAAATCCGACGGTACACTTGAATTTCCACGATGCCGGACGCATAAGACTCGATCGAGTAGTCGATTACGGAAGATCGTTACAGCGATCATGATACAAACTCACGACAGATACCAGCGTGTAATGCGAGAAAATAAACAAACGGATTATTAGCGTCGATATATCAATTATTTTTCCGAAATAACGTGCAAAATTGGATTGAAATTCGTAGAACAGATGATAGCTCGAGCAATTTCACTTCGTGAGCACACAAAAGCCGCAACAATTCGGACATGATATGCCTACGTTTATATTGCCGGATAAGCAACGAGAGCGTAAGCATGATAAATTTACTGATTACACTTTGGTTTCTTTAATTTTTGCGAGGAATGAGGAGGAATGATTGTATCGATGGGCGCCGTTACCCGCTTTGCCCACTACGCAATGACTGATGTAACGAATCTGACTCGGGCATTTTGATGTTCTGTTTTAGAAGCAGAAATCTTCGGGGAAACCGATCTGCGAAGGTTTTACTGATCTGCACTAGCGACGGTACGCGCTGCGCTACGAAAACAGATTCTTAAACTCAAGCCGTACCTCAATGCGTATCCGATCCGAGTTCAGTGGACCTAAGGAAGAACTCCATCACGAGTGACCGAACACTGTGTAAAGAGATCGTAAAATTATAGGGACAAACAAACTAATCGGACACAGGAGAAGCAACGAGCCTTGACCTTTCCAATTTCCCCCCCGAGATCTTCTAAAGTGCACCGGCAGTCAGGCTCGACGAAACGGCTCAAGAATTGTAAAATTCCTCCTCGTCGAGCGTCGGTGCTTGACACAGAAATACAAAGTGTTCGATATTCTGAGGAACGCGTCGATCAGCTATCGTTATCGGAGTTAAACAGCTTCGCTCTTTTCTCTCTTATTATTGAGGAATAAATTATTGAAATCCAATGAAAACGAAGCGGCGCTCGAATTCTTGGAACAATCGATGAATGAATTACAGCGCGCGTGTAACAAATCCGAATCGAAAAGGCGGGATTACAAGAAAAGCAAAAGATTGGAAAGGTCAACGTGTTTGCCATTTGCTCATATCAAAACTTAGATTAATGAACGAAGACTTTAAAGCCTCGCAATAGGAAAGGGTCAGGTCCCCCGATTCCTCGCGAAGTCGCAAACGTCTCGATCGAAATACCAAGTACACGCCGCGGTGTTTACAATCGAATTATAGTGCGGTACGACACGAACCTTTAAGAACAATCACGATTTTATACCGGCTAGATAGTGAATGTATAGTGTGCCAGGTTAAAAGAAAGAAGAACAAAAACAACGTTTTACTGTAAATAATGTGTAGCTGTCAAGCCAAATGCGATCGTATGTGTGCGCGAAATCCGTTCGCTTCTCGAGACGACGATGGCTTTATAATCGATAATCGAAGGAGCAAATGGATTCGTTCGAGAATTGCCACAGTTTCTCCATTTTTTCACGTATTTGCCGTTAACTTAAGTCGCGGTATGATTTTTTTAAAACAAAAATTAACTCGCGCACGACAAAGGTGTGCGCGATGTTGAATCGTGTAGGATGACAAACACACACACGTACACGTTCGAGCATCATCTTTGTATCCATATGCTCCCTTCGTCATAATGTAAAGTACTTCCGATCCATACGAAGAAGCACGCGAAAAGTTATCGAATAGACGGATGTCTGTGTCGCGGCAAATCAATTGTACGAATGTTGCGTTTTTAAAATGTTGCAATTATCCGTAGCTGTGTGAGTTAAAAGGACGCGCGTTGTGTGACAGTTTAGTATGACATTGTTAGTTGTGTCGCAATGTTTCTTGCTTCTCTCCTGTCATGGATTCATAGGAGGTGAGTTCATTATCTTGTGTCCACTTTCACTGTCGATATTGTAGTACGAATTAATCCGCATAGAGCCGAAAAGGGTCGATCTCGAGATTCATTATCT